CTGTTGTGAGGGCCTCCCGGTTCAGGTAGGGACGCAACTGGTGTACCAGGCGAACCTGGGCAAATGCTTGCCCCATACTGCCGATGGGAAGCAGGCAGCACCACCGTTACCATCCCCCACATTATTATTGTCCTTTTGGGTTTTCAGCACATCCACAAGTTCCTCAATGATACCTGGCTGAGCCGTTACCAGACCAAGCTGAGTCCCAGCGTGCTGACTCTCCTCTGGTCCACCATTGCTTCCATTTTTTCCCTAGGCGGGTTCTTTGGGGCTCACCTTGGGGGCGTCATGGCTGGTCTGCTGGGCAGGTGAGCGTCGTCATTCCTAGAGCTCCATTCACTCTTGGGCAACCCCTTCTCCTCCAAGGAGTCAAAGGACGGACGTGGACAGGCTGGCCTTTGCCTGGCCCGGCTTGACTTTCCCTGGGAACTTTCCCTGTCCTGGGAGGGAAGAGACATTGCAGGGATCGGCTCCGTGCTGTGGCTGGAGGGGAGGGGAGCCTGAGCAAATGGCAGCCGTGCACCGGCCCCTGCAGGGAGGAGACCTCCTCTTTGGAGTCGCCACCCGCCGTTTCTGCTGGCTGACCCTCTCGCAGCCGCCAAGTCCTGCTCCCTCCTCCAGCGGCTCTTCTGACCCCCGTCTCCCTCGGCAGGAAAGGAGCTCTGCTGATGAACAACCTCCTTGCCCTCTTTGCTGCCACCCTGATGGGGGCCAGCTTCCCAACGGGGCTCTTTGAACTGCTGATCGTTGGGAGATTTCTGATCGGAATGAATTCAGGTAAAGCATTTGGATTTGGTCTCCGGATCCATCCCTGGTTGACGAATGGGGGGCTTCCTGGGAGAGACCGAGCTGCACCAGGTGTGCAGTTCATTGAGAACGGCAGCCTCTCCGCCGCAGGTCCTTCCGGAAACGCATGGGAGAAACCCTCTTGTGTTTTCAGGCATTGGGCTGTGTGTGCAGCCTCTCTATATAGGTGAAGCTGCCCCTAGGCGCCTTCGAGGGGCCATGGCAATGGGCAGTTCCATCTTCCTGACAGGAGGCATTTTGACAGGGCAAGTGATGGGTCTAAGGTGAGTGTCGAATTCTGGGTCACTGGGGCCCCAGGGTAGGGGGCAGCTGGCTGCCTGGGGGCCTGAAAGCTGCCTTTGTGTTGCTTCCCACAGGGAGCTGCTGGGGGGAGAGGAGCGCTGGCCCTTCCTGCTCTCAAGCTGTGGCCTGCCTGCCATAATCCAACTCCTGAGCCTTCCCTGGTTTCCAGAGAGTCCCCGTTTCACATTGCTAGACCGGGGGGACGAGGCCAAAGGCGTGAAAGGTACAGTGGATTGCAGCCTTCGGCAGCCTCCCAAACCTCCAGGAGGGAACTGGGCGCATTCTTTCAGGCCAGGGAGCAGCTCCAAGCCAGCCGCTCCTTCTGCCCACTGGGGTTTTAGCCGGAAAGAAAGGCTCCCAAGTCTCGCCCTTGTCTGCAGGGCAAACTAGGGGTGGGGAAGCTCTAGGCAAATCAATCCCCGTCCAGCTCGGCAGAGTCACACCCAAGGAGGAGAGTAGCAGCTGCGGAAGGTGAACTCAAGTCAGAGGTTGCAGGTGCTTCGCCTCCTGCTGGACGTGCCGAGGGGCCTCAGGTGGGCCTGAACCCCTCTCCCCCCCCACCCCAGAGGCTGAACCCTGTTTTCCCCCCAGCACTGAAGCGTCTCCACGGCCCTCTGCGCTACCACAAGGAGCTGGAGGACATCCAGAGAGAGAACTTTGCCCTCGGAGGGGAGAAGACAAGGAAGCCCTGGGAGCTGTTTGCCGACCGCAGCATCCGCTGGCAGCTGATTGCAGTCATCTGCCTGACCATGGGCCAGCAGCTCAGTGGGATCAACGCAGTGAGTGCTGGGGCGCCCTTTGGCAGGAGCCTCCGTCCAGCTCCTGCCGCAGGCAGGGAGATTCCCCGACAGCTTGGAACCAAGAGCAGGATGGGAATTGGGCACGTCCCAGTTGGGTGCCCAGTTCTTCCATGCAACGGCATCTCTCCAAGCAGCTCTGGCCGAGATAATTGGAGGGAGTCGGATCTCTTTGTGACCATTGCAGCAAAGTGCAAAGGCAGAGCTGAGGTCTTTGGTGCGCTGCAATGCAGAGCTGGTTCTGTGGACTCGGACAGAGCTGTTCCCTGCTGGAGGCCCTGTTGGCAAGCGAAGCGGGTACCCTCTTGCAGTGTCTTCCCTTCCTCATGGAGTTTTTTTGTACTTTCAGATTTACTTTTATGCCAGTTACGTCTTTGCAGAGACAGGGATTTCCCCCGAGAAGATCCCCTATGTAACTTTAGGTACAGGGATGTGTGAATGCCTCACTGCCCTCACCTGTGTAAGTAGTAGAATTCAGGCTTTCTGTGTGGCCACAAAGGGGCTCTTTTCTCACTGAGTGAGCAAGTGGCTTTACTCTCCTCCTCCTGCAGGTCTTGCTAGTTGAATCCTTGGGGAGAAGAGCTTTGATCCTGGGAGGCTACTGCCTTATGATGCTTTGGTGCGTCATCCTGACCATCTCCCTGACCTTCCAGGTAATTGGGGGACCTCCCCTTTTCCAGCTAAGGGGGTGAGCATGTCCATTGCTCACAGCACCCACCTGCAGGAGTTTTTGCAGCAGTGGCTGTAAATGCTGAGCATCACCTACTACTGGCATAGCACTAGAAATGCCGCCACCCCTTGGCTCACAGACTTTTCCCACTAGTTAGGAAATGGGTGACCTGTCCTGTGCTTTCTCCTCAGGTGTATGCATGGGCGCCATACCTGAGCATGGCTTGCATATTTGCCTTCATCTTGAGCTTTGGCCTGGGACCAGGTATCCCTTTTATGATTACAGTGAAATTCATACTAGCGAGCCTGCAGGGCCGCACAGTTGAGGCTGAGGAGGCCTACCTTACAAGGGGATTGGGGAGGGGGGAACCAAACCAGGAGCTCTTGCTTGTTTTTTCAGTCCGGATAACACACGTATCATCTTGGAATCCCCAACCTGGAGGTACTGCATGCATCCATTTATGCTGGTCTGACTATAATAAATATTTACTTTTGCATGCTTGCCTAAGGAGGTAAGAGGTGGGTAGGGAGTGACCTTCCAAGGTGTTCGCTGGCCAGACGGATTTACACAAGGTGTCTTCAGACACCTCAATTCAAAACTTTTTCTGACGAGGAGCCCAAGATGGCAACTATTGAAGTTCTTTGCTCCGCTCTGGAATAAAATATGAGCTTTATCCATCTTTCTGCATAGACCTGAAATCAACTTCCCCCAACAGGCAAACCCATAATCTGTTAGCTTTCTGCTTTATGTTCCACCATGCCTGCCAGGAGGTTGAACTGCCCTATGTTCTCTGCACCATGCCTCTTACATAATACACCACTTCCTCTGTCTAACAAGGGCTCCTTCCTTCAGGTGGCGTGACGAACATTTTGACGACTGAATTGTTCATGCAGTCCTCACGCCCTGCCGCGTACACCATTGCAGGATCAGTGAGCTGGCTAAGCTTCTTCACTGTTGGCATGCTCTTCCCCTTTGTTGTGGTAGGTTGGTCCATTTCTTGAGACTCTGGTTCCAGCCTTGTCCTTTGGATTATCACTTGTGGCTGACTTCATCCCCAGCTGAAGCTTCCTAGGAGTGTGAGGGGTTGACAAGATCAAAACACTTCCTCTGCACTTTCCTTCAGACGAAAGGACACCAGAACGGGGGGGGGGGGGGTTGGACTAAAAGACCTCCAAGGTTCCTTCCAGCTCTGTGATTCTATGACACTATTCTATGACACATTTGTGGAGATAATTTTAAGTTTTTGATCAAGAGGTGGTCCAAGTTTAAATAATAGTCAGCCTACAATCATTCGCTTTGCAAAGTCGGGCATAAAGTGAATTGAAGCTTGACACCCGAGAAAAAGGATCTGCTTTGATCCTTCTCTCTTTCAAGGGAAGTTTTGGACCTGCCACAACTTAAACCTCTAAATAGAAACGATCCTTGGCTCCATTTGTTGCAAAAGGTATATATAGGTTATTAAAGATCAAGTGTATTGCAGTAGTGCAAAGCCAGAACTTAAAATCTCACACCAAAATCTATATTTTTCTCTCCTTTAACTGTCTCTCGCTGCTCACCCCAGCGCAACCAATCTGGTTCAGGCAAGATGTTTTCTTAATGGACAATCCAAGCATGGTTTGGTAGATGGAGCACCCCTTCCAGCGGCTGCTGACCTTGAGGCGGCTTCCCCAAGCATTCACCCTCCCCACAGTTCATGGCAGTCTGTCACTGCACAGCAGCGAAGCACAAGGAAGCATAATAAGGTGGCATGTGACAGTAGGCCTAAAATAGGCTTTGGTGGAAATGGTGCCATCTGTGGGCATCTTTGACCAGAAAAGTTTTGGTTGTGGGAAAGCCACCTCTCCCTTCTGCTCTGTTAGAAGCCGCTCTTAAATTCAGTATAGAAGTTTGACAAGCAGGTCAATGAAAACGTATTTGTGAAATACTACTGCAGAAATGTGATGCCTCTACATTTTGAGGTGGTGATGATGCCTTGGACCAAGACAGGAGGCCTGGCTGGCTGCAGCCAAAGGTTATAGTGAACACTAGTCCAACTTGCCGAGGGGGTTGGGTAAAATGGAGTCATTCTGTTTTTTTGTGGTCATTCACGTTTTGCTTTTTTGCTCTTTTCAGAAAGGCCTGAAGCACTACTGCTTCGTTGTGTTTTTGCTAGAATGCAGCGCAGTGGCCACTTTCATTTTCTGTGTTATTCCCGAGACAAAGAACAAAACCTTTCTAGAAATTAAGAGGGAATTTCACAAGCTCAACTTCAGGAGAGTCAAAGAGCCGGATGAAGAATTGCATGAGAGACAACGGTTTTGCCTAGAGGTCTAGGAGCTGGTTTAGAGTTGGGCAATCAAGATGCCACCCCAAGAGGCTCTCCGACGGCTGGGTCCAGAGGAGTTGCACCTCTCTGAGCCCGCCAGCTACCCAGGCAGACCCTGGCGGAAGGCAGGGGGGTCTGTGCATCGAGCATATCCCTCCCCCCCGCCTTCTAGAGAGCAGGGCCTGCTCAATAAAGGGCTGCTTTTCATATGCCTCCTGTCTTCACATTGAGAACATAGCTGAGCCGTGCTAAGCCGACATGGCAGTTAGCCTCCAAAATACCATTCACCAATCAGGTTTGTTGCACACCGTAGGAACATTGGAGAGAAAATCAAGAGGGAGAGGCTCACCTCGGAGAATACATGTTAGGGAAATAGCACTCCACATATAATATGCTGTTTATAATATGGGAAGCTCTTGGATAGTTCTCTGGGCATAATTAAATCTCACAGTATTTTAATTAGAAAATTGTGAAGGAAACAGAGACTTTTAAAATACGTACAACGTGGAAAAATTAACAGTTGTGAGACCCCCCAACAGGAGGGGGGCCCCACATCTTGCTTGAGCGAAGCCAATCTTCAGCCCCGGTGTGGCTTCAGGGCTCGGGTCGTTCAAATGGCATTCAGGGGACACTTGAGAAACTTTCCTGAACAGTTTTAGCCCTTTTATTCCCTGCAACCCCTGTGAATCCACCCCAGCACGCCCGCCCCCCCCCCCTGTAGGGAATAAGGGTGGGGCAAACAGCCCCTGCTCCCCTGCCCTGATGCCTACCATCCTGCAGGGCAGTGAAAAGTCTCTCCAAGCACAGTCGGCCCACTTCTGCCAAGAGAGATGCAAGGAGCAGCCACCATCTTGGCCAAGTGCCTTTCTTCCAGACAAACGGAAATGGATCCCTGAGCGCCTTTATTTTGTTACCGGCAGCATCTCTTCCTGGCCCACAAGCAGAGCACAAAGTTGCTTACCTCCCCCCCCCCCCAAAAACATTTCCCTCAGTCTCAGAAGGGCTCCTTCCTGAGCGGAGAAGCCGAAGCGCCTCAGGGGTTGCCTTAAGGGTCAAGAAGGGCCTTTCTTTTCCTTCACCTTCTCCTCTAGGTTCGCAAAGTATTTCATTTTGCCCAGGAGCCTTTTGGCCTCGGGAAGGTCATCTGCAATTATAAGACCAGAAGAAGCCTTGAAAAATCCCCAGGGTCCCCTGCGCTACCCGGGAGGGAAGGGGGAGACTCTGGAAAGGAAGCCAGGAGAAACGGCTGCGGCTACGGAACCTGCATGGCTGTGTGGCATTGAGCTGGAGTCAGACCATCCAACGCCCCGGCCCAGCTGGCCGCCTACCTCGCTCGAACGCGCCGCTCAGCTCCTGCACCAGAGCCGCTTGCTTGGCTGGAAGAGAGGAGAGGAGGAGGGAAGCCGCGCATTCGGGCCCCTCGCAGGGCAGCTCAGGGGAGCCCCCCCCTCCCGCCGCCCGAGGCCGCAGAGGCTCCCACCGACCTGCCAGAAGGCGCTCCAGCCCGGCCAGGCTGGCTTCGGACTCCGCGGCCGCCAGCTGCTCGTTCAGCTCCAAGACTTCGGCGAGGAAGCCGGGCTCGGCCTCCGCATCGCTGCCCGCCGCCAACTCGACTCCGCGCAGCTCCAGCTGGGAGGGGAGGGAGGGAAGGAGCATAGGGCGGGTTCAGGGGGGGCGCCGACCCCGACCCCACCGCCCCCCGACCCCGCCGCCTTACCAGGTAGAGGCCGCGACTGAGCGGGCTGCGGAGGGTGTGGTAGGCCAGGTTGACGAGGGCGGCGTGCTGCTCCGAGAAGCCGCGCTCGGCCTGCAAGGGGGTCACGGAGGGGGTCACGGCGCCAAGGCCCCATAAGCCCCCCCTCCCCCCCGCCCTCCCCTCCGTCCGGCTCCCACCTGCGCTCGGCGGCTGAAGCGGTCCGGGTGCAGCGAGCGCTGCAGGGCCAGGAAACGCTGCCGGAGCCGGGCCAGGTCCAGGGAGAAGCCGCGCGGGCTGCGGGGAGGAGGAGGAGGGAGAGTCAACCGGCGCCGCCGCCTCCTCCTCGCCCCCCCCCCCGCCACGCGTCCCGCACGCGCCCCTCACCAGCCCAGCACCCCGAAGAGGTCCGCGCGGGGCTCCGGCGGCTGCAAAGCGCGGCACGAGGGGCAGAAGGCGGGCCCTGCCGAACCCAGCGGGGCCCCGCCGCCACATCCGCTCCGGCAGCCGGGCAGGCGGGCGCCCCGCCCCCTGTCGCGCAGGCGCAGTGCCTGCCGGGGCGGGGAGGAGGAGGAAGCGCGGGAAGCGTGCCGGCGCTGCGACCCCATGTCCCGCCGGGAGTCTCCGCCGCGGGCTGGCGGGACGCAGCCGAGCCAGCCGGCGTCGGGCTCCTCGAACAGCGGCTCTTCCTCGGGCACGCTCAGCTCCCTGGAGACCCTCCCCGCGCACGACCTGCCCGCCATCCCCGAGGACCAGGAGGAGGAGCAGGAGGAGGCGGCGGCGCCCCGGCCCTGGGGACACCTCTTCGGGCTGGCCGGGGGCTTCCTGGACTGCGGTGCGTAGGCGGCCCGGGGGCTTCGGCGCGGCTGCGGCTGCGGAGCGCTTGGCTCGCCTCGTGTGCCTTTCCTGCCCGGGCTGACCGGCGCCGCTCTTCTCCCCGCTCAGTCTGCCTGAAGAACGAGTACTGGTTTGGCCGTGATCCCGGCTGCGACTACAGCTTCTCCCGGCTGGATCTGCCCAGGGGCGAAACCTACCGGCAGTACAGCAAGAGGCACTTCCGCATCTTCCGAGTAAGCCCCCGAGGGGGCGGAGGCTTTGGGGCGCTGGGTCCGCTGCCGCCCTCCGGCCGTTGGAAGTTGACCGAAGTTTGCTCTCCTGCTAAGGAACCGGGACCTCGGGGCTGCTTCGTGACTTACCTGGAAGACCAAAGCGCCAACGGGACCTTTGTCAATGACCGTGTGGTGGGCAAGGGCAAGAAGATTCCTCTGGGCCATGTGGCCAAAATTGCCCTTTCTCTGCCTCACAACAAAGGTAGGCAGAGCTGGCTTGGCATATGCCCAAAAGCAGGAGGCACGGAATACCTACTTCTGCACCCCTTTCAACATTTGTTCTGTGGGGCAGCAGAGCCAGAGCAAACTCGGAAGCAGTCTTTCCCTCGCCTGGCACGCCTCACATGCCCAGGGCTGGACATCCACCCCCCTCCGCCCCAAAGCGATACGACCTAAACATAAACGCATGCCACGGGCACCCCAGTCTACAACCCTGCAGAGAGTGTGCCAAACCCTGCCCTACCCTGCCCTCCGAAGTGAATGAGGCAGGGCCTTTGCAAGACTACCTGTTTCCCCTTCAGGATCCCTAGGCAGCAGCTGTTACAAACCATGCTCTGCTCCTCCCACCCCCACAAACTACCCCCTGCCAACTACACTTCCAAACGCCTGTCTAGGAGAGCAGGAGGAGGTTCTGACGAGATACTCAAGGCTTCGGATAGTATTTGTGATCCTCCGCTAGCTTTAAGGAATAGGGGCGAGGGCATGAAATAGACCTACGGTTAGATATTTGGGGGTAAAAGTTCCTACCAGATGGTCACCATTTGTCTTCAGCATTTCTGCATTTTACGGTTTGGATGGGCCCTGAAGGTAGCCTTGCCCTTTAGCGGTTGTCCACGTTCAGCCACATTTGCGGTGTGGCATGGCAGCGGTTGGGTTGTTGTGCAAAGGGGCATTGTGCCATTTGTGACAGGAGTGGCCTCTGCTACCTTCCCAGTGTTTGTGTTCTCTGACCTGGAGGCCGGGCATCAGCTGGAATACCCCAAGGACATGCAGAAGAAATACATCGTCTCAAAGACGCTGGGCAGGTGGGTCGCAGAGGTCCCTTGCTTGCGGGGAGGGGCAGGTTGGTTTCAGCATGGATCTCCCTCAGCTGCATCGGCTTCAGCTGCTCTCGCGCTGTCTGGGCCAAATACATCGTACCAGAGAGCTACGCTAAAGCCGCCCATAGCTGTCCTCTCGGGAGCTGCCCCCTGCTCTCTGTGGGTCTGCCCCCCCGAGTCTCCCCTGGGTTCACCGGGGGGGGGGGGGAGTAAGAACAAGGCTGCTTAGGCATCTCCCTCACAGCAACATTTCCTTCCTTCCGTTTCTGTTAGTGGGGCCTGTGGAGAGGTGAAGTTGGCCTTTGAAAGGGAGACCCATAGGAAAGTCGCCATAAAAATCATCAGGAAATCCAAGTTTATGACTGACGTTTTGCCAGAGATGGTAAGTCTTTCCATTTTGTTTGCACTCTGGAGTATTGCTTCCCTGATTTTAACGTATTGGCTGCTCCCTGACTGTTGATGCAACACGTTTGTGCATCATCTGGCTGGGTGTTTGTGGACGTGGTGTAGCCTCAGTGGCTTTACTCTGCACCTGTGTTTCCCTAGAGGCTAATGCAGGAGGAAAATGTTGATTGGTCTATTATCTCACTCAGTCCCCTCACCCTTGCCCTCCGCCTTGAGCACTTCCCCTAAACCAGGCGTGGGCGTGGCCAGCATGTGACACATCCTGCCCTGGGGTTAAGGTTAGGGTACCTTGAGGAAACCCCTTTGTAAGACCAAGGGACTTAAAGTTTCATCCAAGCGTGTAATTTTTCAACAAGGCTCTTAAACTGCCCCACTGCCAACCCCCCAAGCACTCAATGGATGGGTACAGCAATTTGAGAATTGCTTCTATATAAAGAGATGAGTTCAAGCTACAGGGACGACTTTACATTTTGACGCTCTATTGTTTAACAGCAGGACAAGCCCTTTAACATTGAGACCGAAGTGGGAATCTTGAAGAGGATCGACCACGTGAGTGACACTTCCAAGCAAATAGCATATTCTCTGCTGGTTTTGCTCCTCTTCTCTTTTGATTGGAACTAAATTACTGGTAAGGTTTCTGGGGATTTGTTTGTTTTTAAAAGACTTTGATATTCTTTTTTTTAAGCACACTTAGCCAGGTGACACGTATTTGTATGAATGGATTCACAATCCCTCTTTTTAAAAGCAAAACAAAATTACTGTTTTAAACGCTTTTTGCAAGAGTCACTTCTGAATATTGTCTTTCTTTTTCTCTGCAGCCCTGCCTAATCAAGATAATAGATTTCTTTGAAGGAAAAGACTTTTACATTGTGTTGGAATTGTAAGTTGTAGCTCTGGGTTTCTGTCTGTGACTCATTGCAATTCAAATGAGAATCTGGGATTCCCAGAAACCAGCATTATTTAGAGGGTGAGCTGGTAATAGTATCTCAAGGCCCAATTAACTGTAGGAACTGTAGAGCCCGCCCCCTTCTTTGTCCAAGTGCTGCTTGAAGACATATCCTGGCATCTGATTTTGGAGGTCCAGGCGAGGTGTCTGATGAATGATCCTTGATCACAAATGCTTGTGTCTCAAACAACTCTGAGGTCCAGCAAACCAGGAAAGTGGTCAGGTCAGCTGGGGTCCCCTGCAAAGAACCCCACTTCTGATTTCATCCTGAAGATCTTACCTTTCCTGGTTAGCTCTGGGTCCCTGTGCATTACCTGTGCATGGTCTTCCCAGGGAGAAAGCGAAGCCCTTCCCTCTAATCTTTTCAGGATGGAAGGTGGGGAACTGTTTGACAAGGTTCAGCGACCAGCTCGGCTGAGTGAAAGAACTTGCAAACTTTATTTTTACCAGATGTTGTTGGCTGTGCAGGTAATTGTCACAACACAAATTGGGAGTTTGGCT